ATATATATATATATATATATATATACATATACACACACACTTACTCGAAATGTAATTGAGTTTAACAGTTATAAACCATGAGATTCCCCAAACCTAACTTTTCTTCGCATTTACATCGCATACTGAGCCGAAGCTGTCGGTTGCCGGGAATTTCATACTTCGAAATTTAGGTTCGATAATATGGCTTGCCTGAATGTTTACATTTACATACAATGCTGTACTTTGAGCCACCCTTCATATTCTAGTTAATACACTATTATTTGGAGGTGTTCTTTGCCTGCGTGTGATGCATTTCGAGAGAGTGACCTGAAGAGCTCTGTAGAATGGGATTGGTATCACCATAGCTTTTTATCAAGGAACTTCGAGAATGGATCTGCTGTTGAGCCCCGCGAGTGCGTCGATGTGAGGCGACCGCGGAGCTTAATGTATCATTCTTAAATAATGTCTAATTCGGAAATAGTTAAAATCTAAACGAAGTCTACGTCGGTGTGTTAGTCGATCAGTGCTGCATTCGCCATAAACGGATAACTGCGAAATTGACCGGGTCTCAGACGCGATGATACCGTCGCGATGGCAGCAGAGACGAGAAGGTGGCGAGAGCAAATGTGCATTGACAGAGGGCATGGGCAGACGGACAACTTGACCTCACAGAACTGCTGGTAGAGTTCGGCTGGGAAAGCAGTTTACCGGCTGTGCGAGCAGTAAAATTCATAGGGCCAGGGGGCAACTGGCCGGCCAGCCAGCACCAGGCCGAATTGGGCATATCTCGAACCAAGGACTGAGGGTTGGAGGCTGGTGACGGATGATGGGTGACTGTGACTGGCGACTGGTGACTGGTGACTGGTGACTGGAGACGGATGAGCCAACCAGGACTACCGTTTTGACTGGGTTATGTTTCATACATTTGATAGGCACCCTCTTGTGCACCCGAAGCGGGATATGGAGTAGAGTCAAGGTACCCGGCTTCTGCCATGACTCCGGCCATTTGCCCCAGCCATGAGACTCTGCTATAGCCCATTGGCGTGGGCTTGATTCTATGTCGCACGGATGGCCTACATGACACATTCGGGCACGGAACAAACCCCAATCGAAGAGGAAACTGACCCGTCGAAAAGAGGGAAGGCCAGCCGAGGCGAACTTATTCCAAAAGAAAGCTTTCTTGTGTTTAAATAAAGTAGATGTTGAGATTAAGCATCTGCGCATCCTGGGTGATGAGAGATTTTCATTTTATTATAAGTAGGCTTCCGATACTACTAATAGATCATATACATGTGGTGTATTCACCTTGGTTCGTTTAAGGTGATAAGGTGAATGGCAAGTGAATTTTCCCACAATAATTTTACATAACTTAGCCTTCCCCAAAGGTAATTTCATCCAGACAGAAGACGAAAAATAAGTAAAGCAGTCAATTGCTATGGCAAATATGACTTTGCTTTATCGACAATCCCACCACAGAATGTGATATGGAAAATGGCCTGGTCTTCTGTGAAATTCACATCTGCTCCGTTACTCGAAGGTATTCGTGATAATGTGACGGAATGGTTAACGTGTTGAGATTGTACACTGAACTGGCATGGTTCGAGTCCTGCTGGGGTTACTGATGAGACCAGTTCAGACGAGGTCGAAACTGAAGTCCACCCCTGTCTGGATAAGAATAGCTTTTGGGAAAGCAAAGCTATGTGAAATTCAATGGGAGCGTCAGGTCTACTCATATTAATGTGGCAAAATTCATCTACGAGCCACATTATCACGTTAAACGAAATAGGATGGATACATCTCATACCTTCGAACCTCTTCAGCATCCATTTTCATATAAAATAAAAGTCTTGTCAACAATGGTATGCCAAGAAACACATAAATATACAGCTATTTTTTACTTGATTTTCAAAGGTGTGTGGAAAGCATTTTTGAATTGGATTGCCAGTCATATCACCGTCTTGATTTTCTGCATGAATGAATTCGAGCTCTGCCGATGCCCATAATACAAAGTACGAAAGCTCAGCTTATTTTCACCCGAAACAAAGGAAGATGTTTTGTGTACTTGGTAGACCTGAAGGTCGTATTAAAGCTAAATGGTTCCAGAACAGAGGGAATCGGCCGTCGCCTTCTCATGGGATAGACATATGATCCTGAATTTTCATACGAAATGCAAGTCCCCACATTAATGTTATCTCTATACATTGGACTAAAACTGGCCACTCTTAGTATAGAAAATGATAAATTGGCTCTACAGAAGCGCATGCATGGAAATGTGACTTTATGCAAGTTGTGTTCTTAAGCACTAAAATGCATAGCAGTGCGTTGTCAGCAAGATTGTTTTTACTTGACACCATCATGGACCTGACTTTTGTACAGATTTATACGAATGTCGATTAGTTCACTAACGAACCGCTGATGAGACTATTCTCGAATAAGTGAAGCACATTCTTTCCTTTGTTCTAAATGCTGGTGCACCGGGCTTAACAATTGCCAGAATTCATCCGAACTGTATTGCAGCTTCAATCCAGTTTCATAGACTTATCAGCACTATTTGACGGATTCAAGGTGTGAACATTCGTGGCTTAAGGCAAACGAAATTGTGGTCATAGTAAAACATTTTGTGACGCCTTTTGCATTGCAGTTATTCTTTTCAGTATTTTGTGTATATGAGGAGAGTTGCTTTCCCGTTGTATATAAGGTATATTCACTCTATTTCGTTTAAGGTGATAAAAGATTGATAGATAAATTTTGACATGATATTATATGAACAGGCTTTACGTTTCCTACGAATTGCACATATTATATGCTAGAAAAGTTGTTTTTTTCAAGGAATCTCTTGCTTCATAATTGTTGAACTTACTTCCATTTCGAGTGAAAGTGTAGGGTGAAGAGATTCGAAGGTCGGTTCCACCAGCAGACGACAGTGCATTCATCTTGACCAGCTGTCGATTGGCTTTGCTGGAACATGCTTGTTGACGCTGTTTCCGAGGCAGTCTTCTTCGAATCCTGTGAAAAGTTGCTAAGCTTTCAAACTACCGACTTGGTAGACTATTGCTTCTACAACCTTGTCATAAGCTCAACTGAAACTAACGCGCCATCCGAATCCACATGAGTCGAAATGGTGGTTTAGACCAAGAAAGAAATGTCTTGCACATGCTCCGGCAAAAAATCACTTCGAGGCCTCTGAATGTAGATACACACGAGACCAAATTTGTGCAGATTTGCAGAAAATTCTTAAATATTTCATGCCGTAAGGTACATGCTAAATAGCCTGACTTCGAATCTAAGCACAATCGCCCAACAGTATTAGCTTCTTCCTTGGAAATGGACACTTTGCATGCTGGGCCTTATATCAGCTTGCCAAGAAGACATATCTTTGACAAAATATAGACAAAAAATATCACAAACTAAGATTAAATGAAGACTTCTTTTGTCCTATCTTCACAACTTTTATGCTAGGAAGGTGAATAGAATACCTGATTAATCCCACGAGCTTTTTACGCCTCATTTGTTGCTAGAGGATAGCGAGACTTGAAAGCAGGTCTTGTAATATAAGGAAGTTTTCTCCCCACGATTTGGGGAACACAGGCAGAAATAGTAGAATCTGGAAATTGAGCATAAAAACAAGAGCCCTGTAGGTTGTTGGAATATGAAGCTAGTCTTCCCTGCGTCCTTCCTTCCTTCCTTGATCCTAGGGGAAGCATATACTCGATTTGCCTTCCGAGAATTAGCTATTCACTTATTATTTAATTCATTGCATTTATTTATTATTTTGGCATTTTTATCATTGTATTAACAATACTAGGAAAAATTAAATTTGCTGCGAATAGTTAAAAATATTAAATAAAGGCATTAAAAAAATATTTTAAAGCCATGTGAAATATTTTGGCGCCGCTAACTACACAAGATGTCTGGAATTTAAAGCTGTTGTAATGTGATTTATGTAGAATATTACCCAATTTTATTTATTTCCAGCCCCAAGAAAATTCTCTAACAGAAACTCCCACACGGAGATGAAAGCCAGTCAACAGTCTAATGCCGCTCAAGAAGTGGGCGAGGGATTTGGTGACAAGCGAGCAAACCACCCGAGTGAAAAACTCATGGAATTGACCACCATTGGTGCGCTAATTTCGCATATTCCATTATAAATGAATAAATACATTTTTATATTATTCATGCAAACAGCGTGGACTTATTTACAGTGGACAATAAATTTCACTTTATTTTCTTATGGAATGTTTTGCAAAAGAAGCTCCTTCTTCAAGCCGATTGGCAATCATCTTTTAAAAAAGCAAATATTTCTTAAAATTACCCATTGGACGCGACTTATAATATAAGCCGCCCTGAGCTCGTTTGAGATTATGTAAAGATTGATGATTCAATTTCTCATCATCACAGAACCAAATTTGCTAAGGAATCACATGGCAGATGTGATTTGTAGGGAAAACCGAGCCTAAAGTTGCCACAGGCATAGATAGTAGACTTCAAAACTACAATTAAATTTGGAATACTAATTCATTATTTGTCCTTATATTACATTACCTAATTGTAGCAGTCTCATCTTCGTATTAAAGATATCTTAGAGAGTGGAGTCTGTCGGCTTTACTTTTAAAGAATATGTAATTGCTATATTTCATAGCAGTAGGACGGTGTATAATGTTTAAATATTTTTTGGGGAGATTTATGCGTTGAGCTTAGCCAGTCCTGTTTGCAAGTTATTCTAGGGAATGGTGTCTGAGCATGGCTATAGTTTCTCTTTTTTTCGTTAAGAAGCAGAGTTTCGAGACTATTAATAAATCAGTTATATGAGATGTATTCACACAATATTTCATTCAAGGTCATGAAGGACTGGCAGTTGAATTGTCCCACAATCCTATGTGTAGATCTGACTTTTGGGTTGAATTTCACATCGCCTTGCCTTCTCAAAAGGTGTGCTCACCCATGATGGACTGCAGTTTCCACCTCGCATAGTTCTTCGCAATGCCCCAAGCGGGAGTCGAACCGTGACAGCGCAGCGTGTAGGCTCGGTTCGTCAATGACTGAGAAAACGATTGTTTCAAAGTCGCCTTCGTCATGTTCTCTGATAAGAAAGCATTCGTGATGAATTTGAGTATCAACAACAATGTACAGAATGCTTAAAATGATGTCGTTTGAATATTTTGCAGAATATGTAATGCTGAATTGGTCGGAAGAGGAAAGACTTATTTAGGCCAAATACGCCTTAAATGTGGCTACCTTAATTGAAAGTATTAAGGCCTTAGACTGTATAGGATTAGTTTAACCTCGTTTTCACAACTTGATCGTGGTGTCGGGAAAACTACGACGAGAGCACACTAATGCTAGTTTTCTGCCTAGGAACCATGAGAACTTCCAGCAGCTGACTATGGATTGGTTAGATTTAGAAACGTTTTGTTATTGTCAACTAATAATCGTGATACAATATATTTGAGGACTTGAGATTTTAGATCAAGTCCCCTTGGCGAGTTGTGGCTCAGCAACATTGTGATTGTCAACTTTTATGCCGGGGATATCATTCCACATAACATGATATATAACACTGCTTAAAATAGCTGGATTATTTAGTATTATTTTAGTGAATATTATAAAAATAATTACTGCGCCAGAGGACGCTAAACAAAATCCATTCTTA